GCCCCTATCTCTGACCATATGCCAAGATCAGCTTTAAATGAATTAAAGACTTAAATATAAGATCTGAAACTATGAAACTATTAGAAGAAAATATAGGGGAAATGCTTCAGAATATTGATCTGCACAAGATTTTACGGAGAAGACCTCAAAAATATAAGCAACCAAAGCAGAAATAGAAAAATAAGATTACATCAAACTGAAAAGCTTCTGTACAGCAAAGGAAACAATAAAGTTAATCAACAACCTAAAGAATAAAAGAAAGTATTTCCAAGTTATTCATCTGATAAGGGATTATCACCCAGAATATACAAAAAACTCAAACAACTCAAGAGCAAAATAAATAAATAAATAAATAAATAAATAAATAAATAAATAAAACAAAATTTAAATATCTGATTAAAATATGGAAATAATCTGAATTGACATTTCTCAAAAGACATACAAACATCATACAAATATATGAACAAATGCTTAACATTGCTAATCATCAGGGAAATGAAAATCAAAACCAGAATGAGAAGTCATCTTAAACCTGTTAAAATTTATATTATCAAAAAGAGAAAGAGTAACAAATGCTGGTGAGGATGTGGACACTTCTTACACACTGTTGATGGAATGTAAATTAGCAAAACCATAAAAAACAGTGTGGAAGTTCCTCAACAAAACTAAAAATAGAATTACCTTATGATCCAGCAATCCCACTGCTAGGTATATATCCAAAGGAAATCAGTAGTTCAAAAAGATATCTGCATCCCTGTTTGTTACTGTGCTATTCACAATAGCCTAGATATGGAATCAGCCCAAGTGTCCATCAGTGGATGAATGAATAAAAACTGGTCTATTAATATATACCCAATGGAATATTACTCAGCCATCAAAAGAATAAAATACTATCATTCAAGTAAGGACATGGATGGAACCGGAGGTCATTATGTTAAGTGAAATAAGTTAGGCACAAAAAGATAAATACTACATGTTTCATCTCACCTGTGGGAGCTAAAAAGTTGATCTCATAAAAGCAGAGGGTAGAACAGTGGTTCCTAGAGTCTGGGAAGTGTAGAGCAGATTGGGGATAGGAAGAGACAGGTTAATAGGTACAAAACTGGAACTACATGTGAGAAATAATTTCTTGTGTTCAATAGTTAACAACACTATAGTGACTACAGTTAACAATTTTTTGTGTATTTTCAAATAGCTAGAAGATAGAATTTTGAATAGTCCCAACACTAAGAAATGATAAATGTTTGAGGTGATGAATATACTAATTAACCTGATTTGATTATTACACATGGTATCCTTGCATTAAAATATCATATAGTACCCCATACATAAGTACAATTATTATGTGTCACATAAAAAAAAGAATAAATTTTAATAAAAGAAAGAATACCTACCACATTGGATTGGGGTATGGATCAAATGAAATAATTCCCCAAAGCACTCTGTTCAACCCTGGTAATGAAAAAGATTTTGATGAATGGCAGCAGTCATCACATAGGGTTATTAGAGAGACAAATAAAGTGGCATACATAAACAATGAATGGAGTTTGGTACTTGGTGCAATCAATGCCCTCAATAATATTACTTTTTCCAGCCAGGTGCGGTGGTTCATGCCTGTAATCCCAGCACTTTGGGAGGCTGAGGATCACCTGAGGTCAGGAGTTCGAGACCAGCCTGGCCAACATGGTGAAACCTCATCTCCATTAAAAATACAAAAATCAGCTGGGCGTGGGGGCAGACACCTGTAATCCCAGCTACTTGGGAGGTTGAGTCAGGAGAATAGCTTGAACCCAGGAAACAGAGGTTGCAGTGAGCCGAGATGGCGCCACTGTACTCTAGCCTGGGTGATAGAGCGAGACTCTACCTCAAAATAAAATAAAATAAAATATTACTTATTCCCTGAAACAGTCTCTTTAAATTACCAATTTATGCTTCAAACATACACAACTCCTACCTAGGATTGTAGACGACGAGTCATAGTGCACACGGTTCTATCACATGAAGAGGTTATGGCAGAGTGGCTGATCCAGTTACATATATCTCACAAGCACAGTTAAGCCTCTGATTCCCTATATACTGGCAATCATATACTTCAAAAACAATTACTTCCACCAGATATACCTAGCATCAACCATACAAAGTTACCAATCCACTAGGCCAATTATATTATTAGAAACTTGCCTTTCCATTTTTACATCTAACTCTTCTTTCTTAAAAGAATACTTTTAGAAATACCTTAAATGGTTTATTGTTATACTTTTGTGATCAGAACAATTTTAGATTATTATTTTAGCTTAACTATAAATGCAGATAACTATAAAGGTGATAATATAAGCACAACACCTATAAACCAGAGACAGTTTTAAACTAGATGGTCATCGTCCTTTTAAATATTTCATTGTACTTGCATATGCACATACACACACACACACACACACATCAATTCATAAAATGTAAGTGTATGAAATACGTATGTTTAATATATGTATCTTAATGGGTACAGTGTTTGTATTCTATAATTTACTTAAATATGTTTTGCAATGAACATGCAAGTTTTCTACCTCCACTATTATTAGCAGTGCATCAGTGCACTTCTTTGGGTATAAATATCTTTGCACACATATTTATTACTGTTATTTTAATGAATTATTTTAATGGAATTGTTGGGTAAAGGATACACACATTCACATTTTTGATATATACTGGCTTTCACAAATCAATTATCAACTTTTGTTCTCACTGACATGCAGTTTCTTAAAGTTTGCATGAATTTCATTCTCTATTTACATTGTTTTCTCCTCTGGGCTTCTGCCCATGAGATGTTGCCTGAGATCCATTCCTCTCCCGTGATGTCATGACCAGGCCTTCTTGATTATGCTTTTTCAATGACTCTTTTAGCTTGGCCCTTTCTTCAAACTTGAGGACTTCCTTGCTAATCTTCTTGTCACCTAAAGCCAAACTCATCTCATGCCATATTTTCAACAACTACTTGTTAAAAGATATAAGGCAATATAATAAATACTAATGTTAATGAATGTGACTTAAACTTTCTTGGAAAATATTAATACTCACTTTTATTTTCCAGACACTAGACAAAGTATATGTATGCATTATATGAAAATTGAATGTTATCATTATTAATTTCCTCTGCAATGAAAATCTGAAGCTCAGAAAACTCTTAGGTATTTTCCAAGGACAAATATAAATAGCACATTTGGGCTTATATCCTTGGTTGTATTATTGCAATTCTGTTCTTAACCACCATGATGTACTGTCTGTATTTGGAAATTCAGGAACAAATTTAGAGCTTTGCTAACGTTTCAAAGGCACAATTTTGTAAATTAATTTTATTGATAAATTACTGTGTGATAAAAAATATAAATTTACTTTGGGATAAGTCAGGCTGATCTCATATTATTTCAGAAAATATGTGTTATTTTAGTCCATAATAAAAAGTTACTGACCCTATTTGTTTTTTGTTAATAATGATTGCAGACAATTTCTAAGAGATGCCTAGTTGAAAATATGTCCAAGTAACTCTAATGGAGTAGCAACTTGGGCAAGCTTGTAGATAACTGATTTCTGTGCTTATTTCAAAAATGATTCTATTCAACGTGTATTGAAGAGCTATTATGGAATAACAAACTACAGGAAATTTGGTGATCTTAAAAGAAACCATCAGCTTGGTCCACTGCAGTTATCTGATGTGAGCTCACTCTAGTTTCTACAGGTTGACTGGGAACACTTACTTAGTCTGGGCTTGGCTGGGGCAACTTAGCAAGGGCTTCTCCATTCCATGTATTTTTCATCATTCTTCTGAAACCAGTGGGTTAGCCCAGGTATGTACATTTTATGGTGATGGCAAAAAGATAAGAGAGCAAATGGAAACATACAACATATCTTGAGGCCTCAGCTTTTGGAACTGGCATATTGTCACTTTTACATCATTCTATTTGCAAAAGCACGTCTCATGATGGAACTCATAGCCAAAGAGTGGGGAAATAAGCTGTTCCCCTTTGAGGGAAGAATGGCAAACTCATGTGGCAAAAAGCATGGAGATAAGACGGGAGGGAGAAGTGGTGCCAGTAATGCAACCTAGCACCAAAGCAACTGAGTTTTTACTTGAAAAGATATTCTGGTTCTAAACTTAAAAACTAACTTATATTTTTAATTATTTGGTCATGGGACACTATGAAGTTTTTTTGGTTCCTGAGAGACAGGGTATGCTGCAGATGTTTTAATTTCTGGTCAGGTGATTTCTTCCTATGAAATGATTTTGCCTATGTCCTTTAAGAATCACTTGTGTGTTTCTCTGAATGCAGTTTTCAGCACTAAAACTCTCAATGAGTGACTCATTAAACTAGTCACCATTGTATCCACCCACTCAACCTCTTGCCACAGCCTCTGAATCTGTAGCTGCTGTGTCACATAAGCATGAAAACTGTAGAATCCAGAATTCCTATTCAACTTGTGCCAAAACTCTAAGCCTTTAAGTTTAAGAGCATTTGAGAATAATTGTAAGAAAAATAGCATGGTTGTTCTGTAACCAGATGCTAAGTTGACTATTACTCACTCACTGTGAGTTAACCGGAACTTAAAGGAGGGAGTCACAGCCCCGGAGTGTGAAAGAAGATAGCCGGAAATGTCCAAAGCAGTTAAGAGGGTGAACAGATTTTGTCTAAAAAGATAAGGCAGCTAAACAGAGGGTGAGAAGACATGAGCCAAATTTACACTCACAAATAGTGGCAATAATCTCTGAGAATCCAATTTGGGAAGAAGTGAGGGAGATAATAGTGCTCTGAGTGCCTAGTGATGAGAGAACAAAGAGGGTAACGATGCCTGAGAGACGGGATCAGTAATGTTTCCAAGGTGTCATGGAAGAGTCTGCTGGCAGTAGGACAGAAGTGTACTTTTTTGATTTTTAAACTAGTTTACTAAGAAGGTTCAAGTTTGCGTCAAAGTTCAAACTTTATAAATTATTTGTTTGCTTTACTTTCCAGAATATTTAAAAAAACAATCCATGGGACAGTCTAACACAACAAAGGGAATTATTCATCAAGAAGAGGCCCTTTAACAGGTAAGTGTGAGGAAACCCTTCATCTTTAAAAGGCACATGACTGCTTGGTGGTTTACTTTCAGTGGAACCGAAAAAGTTTCAAGGAGATTAACATCTTTATATTCTTAAAGCCAACGTCTTCAAAATAACAACCACAATGCAAAGTGAAAAATCTAATCAAGTGTTTATTGATTTTTTCAAGTTCAAATATACATATAATATTGTTTCTCAACTTCTATGAGATATAGAGCTTGTCTTGATAGAAGTAATGAGATGCCTATAATTATGTTCCATGATTTAATATTTTATTTTCTTACATCTTAATTATGAGTTGATGCTACAGTCTGAACAATTAAGACCTAAATGTTCTTCCAAATTTACAAAAACTCAAAATTTTGTGTTAGAAAATTACTTTTAAAAAACTCAAGTATTCTATATCTGGGTAGAAACTAAAGATAATCGCCAATTCTAGATGTTATGATTACTGTTCCCATTTTATTGTTTTAAATGCCTCAACTGTCTACTTCCCCCATACTATGTGGCATAGATTAAAGTCTCTGAGCCATGTTATATGTTGCTCACTAGTAAACATCAACATGCTGGTAAAGAAATGCATATCTGATTCTGTAGCAAGTTTCTGAAGGAACAAGTTAATAAAGAAACAATGTGAACCACAATTACTTTGCACCAACCTAATCTTACTGGAAGGAGTTTCTGTCAGTAACTACTGATGTAACCCGGTGCTTCTAACCTATATGTATGTACATTTGTGTATATATGTTAGATAGGGTAGATATATATATTATCTATCTATATACCTACCTATCTCCCTCCTTCCTCTCCCTCCTTCTGTCATCTGTTCTCATGTTCTATATGGTTATATGTTCTATATTTATCTTTTGCTAGATACTAGATGCTCGACTAATCTATTTCAAATAAATGAATTAGTAGTTTCACACATAGCTGTTGCTAGCATGGAAAAAGTTGGGGGAACTGAGAATCTTTTCTTCTGCCTCAGAACACGCTATATTAACTTGCAGTTTATATAATTACCATTGTATGTCTCCTTATTTTTGTCCCTAAAGAAACTTTATATCTTACAACTTCATCCCTATGAATTTATTTCCTTCCCTATAAATGAGAATAAAAATATAAATTACAAAGGTATATTTAATGTCTAAACAAAATATTATATATTAAATGTAATTCCTTGAAAAGGTAAATAATTATAAATTGGCATGGCTTTGAGACAATAAGAAAAACTAGAATTGGCACATGGTAAGTGTGGGAATTCAACAGAGCAACCAAGATGTTTCTGACTTTTTATTTTTAATTGCATTTGAGGCCTATCAAATCTTTTACACAAAATTATAAATTATTTGTGATTTCCATAGATATTTTATATTTTATCTTAAGAGGTGTCTGCTAAACTATATAAATCTGGAAGGAAACTTATGCTAAAATATAAGGTATTGGCCTGTGTGTAGACATATTGCTCATTCTCTAATGAGGCTCTGGAGCTATGAAACATGCATGGTGCAGTGTGGAAACAAAGTTTATGGATTGTGACTCACATATATTATCACACTAAATCCCTATAAATTCTTAAACACAACTTCTTTTATCAGTTTATGCATATACTCAAAACCAGCAGTTGCTTCCTTTGCCTGCAGAATAAGTTCCTAGTTCCTAAGATTGCTATTCCAAGTTCTCAAGAATCTGGTCCCATTCTGCCTCTTTAAGGTTTTTTTCTACTTATGCCCATTAAAATTTTGTGTTTCGATTAGACCAACCTATTCATTCAATCTACAATTTCAAAAGAAATCTACATCCTTAACCTTGTTTTTGCAGCTTCCTTTCCTATTTGGTATGACTTTCCATCTTGAGAAAAGCTTATACGTCCTTTAAATACCTAGCTGTACCTCTGGATCATCTTAGTGGGTAATTGTCTCACCATTATCTGAAAATAATTAGTAATATTTATATTACTAATTTCATTCATAGAAAAATATTAATTTGCTAATTGCTAATAAAATTTGATGTTATTTTTTATTACTGAGGGTATAATTAATTGACTAAAAATAATGAGTGTTACAAGAGTCATTAAGTTAGTAAATTGCAGATTGCTATAAAGTATTATGAGTTACCTTATAGTGTGATTCTTTATCCAGAATACATATATTTATATCTTCAACTTATGATAATAAAAACAATGTAAAAACTAGTAAAGAACTATATTATTACTTGAGAGAAGGAGATATTATAATTTCATCTAATATATACTCTGTAAATAGTAGGAACTCAAGAAAAAGCTTTTCGCTTTCGAAATACTAACAGTTGTTGCATGTAACTGTATAGTGTTTCTACACAAATCTAAAGTACCATTTTTCAGTATTTCTGCTTCTCATTCTTCTGTCAAGCAGTCATAATCTCTTATTTGGAATTGACTATCTACTTTCACCTTTACCTCTACACTTCAATCTTCTTACAGCAGTCAGAATGATCATTTTAAAATGTCAATAAGAGAATTCTCTTGTCCAGATACTTCAATGGCACCCTTTCATAGATTAAGATAAAATCCAAACTCCTTCCTGTAATCTCAATGTTTCCATCTAGATTACTACTAAGTACCTCCCATGGTTCACTTCACCTGAAAAACACCCACCTCCTTGCTACTCCTTGAACATGACAAGGACTGTTTGGAGATTTCAGCTTTGCTCATGCTTCACCTCTCAGCACATATCACTACGTTTTTTTTTCCCTAAGCAGCATTCCCTGACCAGCCTAAAGTAAATAGATCCTCCCATTCAATATCCATTCACTCTGCTTTGTCATCATGATGCTTATTACTACTTAATATTATATGTTCTACATATTTGGTCATTTGTTTAATATCTATCACCTCTTTTTAAAATGGCATATCTGTGAGTGTTTTGTTCACCATTTTATCCACAGTACCTAGATTATCACCTGAAATATATTAGATGTTCAACTAATCCATCTTGAATAAATAAATTAACATTTACAAATAACTAGATTAGGAATATGTTGTCTTTTCTAGTCTGCAGAATTTGGGTGTTGAATATATTTCTTGAAAGGACTGTTCAATATAAACATCTGAAGACTAGATTCTTCTTTTGTTCCAAGTCTGTCATTTCATGGCAATTCTCATAAACAAGCTACATTTCAGTTTCTATTTATGAAATAGTGATAAATATTATCACCTTTGTTCTTGTCGCTTGAAGTTACAAAACTGATGGGAAAAAAGTATGTTGAATTCCAATCACTTTCAATAGCACATTATTAACTTTGGAATGACTAAAAATGATTCTTCTGCTTGGTTCCAGAGAAAGATAATAATGCACATTTGGTGTATTAGGGATAAGTCCACACAGAACACAGGATATTAAAATACATATTTTTAAGAAAGCTTCCAGACATCCCAAATTCGCAAAATGTCTGGCTCTAAGTTGGTTTGAAGTTTTGCCTGGACTCCAAATATAGGTTTGTGTGTTTTATCTGTCCATCTCTATGTTTTTGGTTCATAGTGATTCAGTTTTGGCCACATGAATTTATTGTTTCCAGTGAAAACATCAATATACTAATTCCCAGTGAAATGAATTAACATTGTACTCTAGTGATACCTGCAATTTCAGGGCTGGATATATATTTGATGGAAAATCTGTACTGAAGATTCATGATTGATATAAAATCCAGTAACTTGTATATATACAAATGTATACAAGTTATATATAACTTTGTCTTACTTTTGTTATTATATAGCCTATATATGTGTTTGTGCATATATATTTATGCTAGATATATACAGTGAATATGTAAGTCTATATATTGGATGTGTGTGTATGTATATCTGTATACATACACACTTGCTATATCATAACCAAGGTGAGATAAATTGTATATATTACTTATATAGAATTAACATGCATTCTATATGTTAATTATAATAATAATTGTTAGAAACTGTTAGTTATTTAGGTAAAATGCTTATTTTTGTTCATCTTTTGCTTCAAATTTATCTTACTTTGGTCATTATATGGCCTGTATGTTTATATATGTATACTACATTTATACTGTATAAACACATTATACAGTACATTAAAACAATAACATAAAACTATAACGCCAAACCAAAATTCTGACCTACTGATGTAATTTTTAAGTGATGCATAAAATAACTACCTTGCTTTTAAAATGATCTTTATCCTTGTAATCCTCATTACAAAGATAAATAACATGCTTTTAATTACAACTCATCTGAATATGACAATGATTTATATTCATAAGTGGTTGTGACATGCGAGTCACTTTCTATTGGATTGCATACAAAATAAAGGATTAAATTTCATTAAAAAATACTGTGTTCTTTTCAGAATCTCACTGGTTTGTTAAGCAGGATTTACTAACATTATTGTGAAAGAATCTGCAGGCTATTTTTAAAGTTGTAAAGGAAAATATAATTTTTTTTTTTTTTTTTTGAGACAGAGTCTCGCTCTGTCGGCCAGGCTGGAGTGCAGTGGCTCGATCTTGGCTCACTGCACACTCTGCCTTCTGGGTTTACACCATTCAACTGCCTCAGCCTCCCGAGTAGCTGGGACTACAGGTGCCCGTCCCCAGGCCCGGCTAATTTTTTGTATTTTTTAGTACAGACGGAGTTTCACCGTGTTAGCCAGGATGGTCTTGATCTCCTGACCTTGTGATCCGCCTGCCTCAGCTTCCCAACGTACTGGGATTACAGGCATGAGCCACCGTGCCCAGCTAGGAAAATATAATTTTTGAAGCTTATAACCTATTTTTAGAAATACCATGGGTTATTATCTATAAGTAAGCTTAAATATTTTGTTATAAATTTAATTTATATAGCACATATAACGTTACATTGTGTTCACTTATGTACTCAAATGACAACATCTTTGAAAGCATTGTTTCCATTTTTAGTAATTAGCATAGAATATTTATAAAATTGTTATACATTTATTGAATGTTAATCAGAAAGTCCA